GTGATAAAGCACCTGGATGTGTTTGTTCTCTGTTCTTTATCAATATGAGCCCGTTCCTTAGGAACCACCCCCCATTTTGCTTTTGTTGCAGAAGGTGGAGGGAGAGTGGCAGAAATGATCAAGAACAACTGGTTGTTCACAAGAAAACTGAAAACCAGCTATACGTGCTTTGTACAGTCTGCTTTCTGAAACATAAAACGTGTTTAAAGGTTATAGTCACCTAGTGTTTTAAAGCTGTACCTTAACCTTTCAGTCTGGAACCACTGAACACAGCCGCTGAACTGACTGAACTGACATTGTTTTCAACAGGACGCATTCAGTTTACTAGCATATTCAGATCCTTGGAACAGTCCAGTTGGAAACCAACTTGACCCAATTCAGAGAGAACCTGTGTGCTCAGCTCTTAACAGTGCAATATTAGGTAAGTAACTAAAGCAAGACAACTAGACTTCAGCTACATTCTCTGTACATTGGAAAGCATATTGTCCTTATATTTGTTTCAGTAAAACAGGGACACATTAATCTTTTAAAATATAGAAAATTTCCAGATTACATGGATTCTGATGGAGTAAAAACTGGTAAGATACTGAAGTGTATCTTGGAATGTTTGAAGATAGCTTTTGTCTGTACATAAGCACTTAATTTAGTCTTCTCATATAGAATGAGGTATTTTGTGTGATCTTTATGTGAAAAAACCCTACCATCGTAGACCATAACCCTCACTTTGAGACTGGGAATAATGGTGTACTTTTATAAATTCTCTCATCTATTGGGCCTAAGCTCTTCCTGTATTGTTATTGGGGTGAGTTGTGAAAGTTGTAGGAAGTATGTGACCTTATATTGACAATATAGGAAGGAACAGAACCTTCCTATGTCAGTAGCTGTGTTCAATGGGCTTATCAGAATTTGGTTTGACTGTTGTGGGAGGAATTTGGGCACGTTTACAAAGAGTTCTGATAGTTGCTCCACAGGAAAGCAAGGCTATAGAGTGCTCAGGGGTCACAGCTGGTACCTCCCTTATACATTCTGCTCCTTTTGACTTAAGGTAGTTAAAAAAGGAACAAGGGTAACCTGAGCTCCCCACATCATAGCTTCTGCTTTAAGACATAAGCAGAAAAAGCCCTGGACTCAAACATTTGTGTTCAAATTAGCCAGTCACTTTTGTCAGTGTGTATGCAAAGTGGGGAACTGAACACATCGTTTGGTTAGTTTCTGCTCCTATCAGTAAGTCACTGTAGTTGGAATCCTATGTAATGATTACCCAGTTGATCTGCACATAAAACTTTAATTTCTGGGCTGTTTTCTTCAACGGTAATTTAGATTAACGGTTATTTTACATCTGATATAAGACTTGAGACTTCAGTCCATTTTAGAAGTTTGTGCTGTTATTTGACCTGGTGAAGATTTTTAGTCATGTGTTTCAAACGGTTTTGGAAAGGTGACAACACTGCCACATGAGTAAAGAGTAATTTGGACATCGGTACTTGGCTAGTAATCATTGCAAGAATGTAAAGGAAGCCATGGGTGCTCATGTTTATCCTAAATCTGATGATAAGGGAATAAGAATAGCGACCGTTGTGTTACGGTTTCTTAAATTGGGATCTGTGTGTCGAATACTATTAATTTGGTTTGTGTTGTATTTTCAGTGGCCATATAAGATCAGCTCTGTTGGTAAAAATAAGATAATTGAGTAACAGACTGACTTGCACTCTCTCAGGTCCCCAACCGACAAAATATACAAAGCACACAAATTGTTATTATTTTAGTTTTTTGAGACAGGAATTTTTGTGTGACCTTGGCTGTCCTGGGAGTAGCTCTGTAGACCAGGCTGGCCCCAGAGATCTGCTTGCCACCCTTCATATGTTTGTGTTGACAGTGGAGTCTCTTGTCTGTTCATAGCTTGTAACTGCCTTTTTGAAACTACTGTATTACAGGTAGTCACAGACATCTGATTGCCAGTTTTATTGTGACAGCTTTTAATTTGAGTTCTTCAAATCAAATGCTTAGGAGCATTATCCAAGATACAAGTGTTAGGCTGGATATGGCAGGCAGGCAGGCAGGCAGGCCTCCTAGCTTGAAGCCAGCCTGTTTTACATAAAAGACTTTCAAGTCAGACAACAGGACTACAGTGAGACCTTGGAGTGTGCGTTTGTGTGTTAATATAAATAATGCTTATTTAATGCTTACATTGAAAAGTATTAAACAATCCTTTGGATGACAGCATCTTTCATGCTATTAATGGGCAGATCTATATGTAATGCATAGTGTATTAATTGTATGTTTTATGTATCTTAAAAGTTTAAAGATGATTAAAGCCAGAGGCCTCCTTTGGTCAGAGTGTAAAAAACCTGGTGCTCACTTGACTCTTCCTTAGGCTTTAAAGAATAATAACTATTCCTTGTATTTTATCAATAAATCAGTATTTCAAAATAATCTTAACCCTCAGACAGACCACATTTTATTAAACCATTATTTTCTCACCAATCTGCTCCATGCTTTTATTCATGTCTTATTTATTGTTCCTTGTATGTTTAAGTCCTCAGTTTGCTTTTCTGTGTTTTTGTGTTTCATTCCTCCAGAATTTTTTTCCTGCTGTATTGCAAACTGAACTGTGGCTATAGGTAAATCCGCTAGAGAACTCGACAGCCACTGTCATGGTTTTGCCCTGTGAACTTTGCCTGATTAGTTTCACTAACTGATTTGGACACCATCTCCAGAATTACTAGCTTTGGAGTGGGTCCTGTCACCCTTAGTTCACTTCATCTTTGGTAATTACTGCATGTTTAATCCCAGCACCCAGGAAGCAGAGGCAGACAGATCTCGGAGATTCAGGTCAAGCTGATCTACATAATGAGTCCGTATCTCAAAAACAAAACAAAAAAATGTACCTGTCTGAAGTTGTGATAATGTAACACCCAAGAAATACTGTTTATTAAAGCATCTGAATTAATGATTAGAAGTTAACCTCTTCAACTTTAGGGTGGCTTTGCTCGGTATTCTGACAGCTGTCCACTTGCTTCTGAATAACATTTACCAGCATGCCTAAGAGGCAGCTCAATAGTAAATTTTCCTTATTTCAACCCCAAATGTCTATTAGGTTACATCTTTCCCATCATGGTTAACAGAGAAGGAAAAAAGTTGCGCATATACTTTGCACACCTTTGATTCCAGTACTCAAGCAGAAGCAGGCAGATCTCCAAATTCCAGGCGATACGAAGTGAGACCATGTATTTAAAAAAAAAAAACTTAGTTCTGTAAGAACTTTTCTTAGAACTATCTGCTTTGCTAGTCAGATAGTTCAGATCCTACATTTGATATAGTAAATATATTTCCGATTGAAAGATGGTTTTAAAAATGATTTAATTGCTGTTTTCATTTTCTAATCTTTTTTCCTTAGAAACCCACAATCTGCCAAAGCAACCTCCACTTGCCCTAGCAATGGGACAGGCCACACAATGTCTAGGACTGATGGCTCGATCAGGAATTGGATCCTGTGCGTTTGCCACAGTGGAAGACTACCTACATTAGCTATGCACTTGGAGAGCTCACACTTACATTGTGGCAAATAGTCAACATGGAAGTAGACCGGCTCTGCTGATTTGAAATTTAGATTTTTTAATTATGTACTGGGGACAGGTTTTTGTCGCTTTACATTGCTTCCTAGTTTACAGCATGATGCAAATGATTTTCTAACTTAGTGTTAGGAGAAAATATTTTCCATCTTTTAACCTCTTAGTTGTCTAAGAGTTAAATATTACTGAATTTCAGACGTTCAAATTGATCATCAGAAATCCTTTAAAACAATTACCTAAAAGAAACCAAAAATCCTGCCTTCTTTGTTGGGGGGAGAAGGGGGAAGAAATGGAACAAGTTGTGTTTGTGTTAGCATGTGGGTGATGTAAACTACAAATTGGGAGCTGTTCCGACCCCCGCTCCTGTGTAAGCATTCAATCAGTGTAACTTGCAAAATGCATAAACATCCGACAGTTTGAATTTAATAGTGTTGATGGAAGAAATCATTTTTAATGTGTACTGTAAAACTTGAAATACTCAGGAGCTGAGTGAGTATGTTTGTTGCTACTTACAATCCCGACCTGTTAGTCCCAGTAGTTTTGTTTTAACATGGTCTTTTTCAACTTTGTTTCCTGTTTAACTACAGATGACTTCTGTTGTAGACTCACAAGTTTAACTGTTGTATTATAACAGTATTACATGTCAACAGTGTGGTTATGACCTTTATTTATATAAAAACCAAATATTTAGTCAATTTACCGTGTCTTAATTTAATCTTTGTACACCTTCCATTTTTAAGTGCTTAAATGAGTACTATATTGCAATAAAAATGTAGTGATATAATTAACCAGCCATTAAAAATTTACTTCTACAGATATTAGTGTCAGTGAATTTATGTATTAGGTTCTCATACATTCTTTAGAGCAATTAATACGTAATAAATCTTACTAGCAGTCCAAGTTAATAGTCTAAAACTGCCTTCAGGTGATTGTGTGATTGTATTAGTCAAAACTGATACTGTATGTGAAAAGAAAAATAGGAATTTAAGTTATTGTAACTATCAATCAAGCAAACCCCCAGACTGGTTAAAAAATTTTGAAAAGCTGTTCCAGGGCTGGTAAGATGGCTCAGCAGGTAAAGGACTTTGCTACTAATTCTGACTTGAATTGTCCTCTGGCACTATCATGCATGTGTGCACAAACACACTAGTTCATTGCTAGGCAGAGGTGCTGGCTGAAGTTAAGTCTCCCCAACAGATACTTACTCGCTTATTTGACTACTTATGGGAGCCGCCCCCATGCTTTTTAGCAGTGGCTTCTTATTCACTGTCAGCAGAAACCAAATCAATAATGCCAGAATAGCTTTTCAGCTGTCCTGAAGACTTCATGGATGGTCTCTTCTTATCCCTCCAGATAAGTGGTTAATTCCTTTTTAACCACGTTTCCCTCCAGAAGGCTCAAAAGTATTCCAGAAAGAAATACAGCCAGTTACTTTCCCAGACAAAAACGTTTATGGTTTTTATAATGGTCCTTTACAATGATTTGCGGATGGCTACATTTTAAGACATCAATCTTCTTCACCCCAAATACCCTTAAATTCTAAAAATACAAAGTACAGGTTCTTCATTGAGCTTTACGTCAATTCACTTGTAAGTTTTCTTTTTCATCTTTCTAGCCATCCACCGTTTTTTAAACCTCCTGGCATTTTGTTGTTTCTGAGCACCTACAAGAGAACAACAGGAAGCTTCATATAGCTTTGAGTTAAAACCCCCAAGAAACAAAATTCAGATTTTTTTGTGTAGTTTACATAAATGGATACACTATAAAAGAAGGCCTTTCCATCTCTCTTCTAGAAACATTTTCTTTGTAAAATGACTAGGAATCAAAAGAAGACACTCCATCTTACCCCATGTACTATTGAGAAACTGGGCTGCAGCCTTTTTCACTGGTAGCCTCTTGTTGTTCAGTGACAGGAACTTGTTTACTGAAGGGAAGAATTACTTATCATTTCTTTGTCATTGTGAGACAGACAGACACACAGACACACAGACAGAAAATTACCAGTAGTCCTCTTTGATTCTGAACCATATAAGCAATTATGGATGAAGTGTTTGGCTGCTTCTTGCCTTGAGTCTCTCAGTTCTTGATCTTTTAGCCTTACAGCCAAGTAGCTTTTATTCTGACTGGTGATCAATACAAAAGGTCAAAATTAGAGGGTACATGCATGCTCGTTCTCACATGTAATTGGGTATATGTGCACCCGCATGTGTGGCACTGGGAAGGGTCTGTGAGTCACTGAACAAACATTACCACTCAGCCACATCCTTTGGGGCAGGGGGTGAGGGTTATCAAACTCAGGGCCTCACAACTGCCCAGCAGGGACTCTATTTCTGTGACTCCCAGCCCCACATGACCTTACTTTGAGATATTTCGTTCTTTCTCATCAACTGTCTTTAAATGATTTTACATGGTACACAGTACAGCTAAATCACGTGGTATTTTATTTTTAAAAAAGTACATTAACACATTTTAAGGTAACAGTTTGACTGTTACCATCAAAACTTTTATTTTTCTATAAATTGCCCAGTCTGATACACTGCTACTTTCTACTTTCCCCTCATAAAGCAAAACTTTAAAAAGGAAACTTTACATTCCAGTAGGAAGACAGAACAAAACTCATTACCTGGCAGAGTGAACTTCTTGTATTTTAACTTTCTTGGAATTTCTTCCTTTTGCAATGTGTTCGCTTTCCTTTTTCAAATGAACTGAAAAATTAAGATCCACTTTGTGAATAACACTAAATGGCCCTCACTTCAGACTACATTCCGTTTGAGTACAGATTTTATTTGGAAGAAATAATGGGGAATGGTTTAAACCAACTTTGGCCAGGCCTAAGGGCCACAAACAGCCAAGAATACAAGTAAATAAGAACAATTCATACCTTTCACGTTTTCTTGTGATTTCTTTATGCTATGGGAAGAAAAAAAAAAGCTTGGAATGGCAGGCAATAAAGGATACTCAAAACAAGCAACATAAGATCCCCTTCAGGCTTCCATGACCTCTACCCCCGAATTTTCACTCATCATGCTACACAGCACTGCCACCAACTCAGGAACTTCACTAGCATGGGATATCTTCTCAGAATTTGATTCTGAGAGCTGTTAGTAGGCATCCAAAAGAGTACGATCAATATTCTGAAAAACTCAGGATTATTTATAGAACTTAGCACTCCAAATACCAAGAACAAGGTGGTGCTTATCTCAATAATGAGAAATAACAGATTATTCAACAGTTTGGACACTGGAGACAAAAGATGAGCTCCAGACAATCAAATGACCAGACTGCCACAGAAATGAAGTACAGAAGCAACAGTACAGATCAGACGGACAAAGCGAGGGGAGGGGTCACACTTGAACTTGGTTGTGAAAGACAAGGACTTCAAACATCCACTGGCATGCCTCGTGGAATTCAAGATCTGAATATGGAAAAGTAAGCAACTATTATCCTAGTAAAAATTTCAGGGTTCACGCTAAGGCTGGGTGTGGTGCTACACACCTTTAATCCCAGCAGACAAATCTGAGTTTGAGGACAGCCTGGTCCACAGATGGACTTACATACAGAGCTACACAGAGAAACCAAAAACAAGAGAACGCATGCACCAAGGAGTGCCAAGAGGTAGAGGAATAAGTTCAGTTGGAAATAAATGTAACGCAAGAACTCCAAAACCACTCTCGCTTAAATTTGGGCAAATTTCTTCAGTTATGCGGACATATCAAAGATGGCTTTACATAAGTAGAAGCCCTGTTACTTACTCGGCTTCTGAAGCTGTAGTTAGTTGCTCTAAAACAGCATCTGGCAGCAACTTTCTTTTCTTTTGGAATAAAGACATTTGAAGACAAAGTTAACAGTAATGTACACGTATTACCGCAGTTGCTTCTAAAACGTTACTCAAACAGCCCTGCATCCCGGCCAACTCTGCCCTGCTACTTCTAAGCCGTCAGAAAAACTGGGCTTACGAAGCCAAAACAGTAGTCGCTCAACGTTCAAGTGTCCCTGTTATGAAGAGAAAGGTATCGGGCACGGCCACTTTGAAGTCAGACTTCTGGGAGGTGAAATTATTCGCATGTACCATTTTTTTACTTTACAAATCACTTTAAAGTTTCGGAGTCCTAGCTTTAGACTAGACTAAGCCTTAAAGACCAAAACGCCAAGGCCAGGTGAGCGCCAGCGCTTCCACGCCCACTCTGAATTACGGCAGACACCAGGAGACTCCAGTAGCCAGCCCTGGCCCGCTCCAACATCCCATCCTCCAAAGACCCTTGAGCAAGCGACGCGTCCCGCCCCAACCTTCTGCTCGATGAACAGCTCCTCGCGCCGCTTCCTCTTCTCCTTCAGCAGCGTTTTATCCCTGGAAAAGAGGGTCAGATGAGCGCGGGTCCAGCCCAGGGAGCCGCCGGGCGCCCGGTTCCCCGCCGCGGGCGCCGCACCTGCGGACACTCTCACGCACGCGCAGCTCCTCCTCCCGCGCTTCCGCCTGAGCGCAGGCGAAAGTCAGCTCCTCCGGGGCGTCGTCGTCGTCGTCCTCGTCCAGCGGCTCGGCGGCCGCGCCGCTACTGGGCTGCCCGAGGAGCAGGCCATGCTCCGCCTCCTCCTCCTCCTCCGGGCCGAGCTGGTCCTCGTCCACCATCGCCTCCGCCGGCGCGGGGACACGCGACGAACGCGGCCGCAGCTGCACCATGGCCAACGGGAAGAGGGCTGCCTTGACCCTTAACCCGGAAGCAGCCGCTCGCTGTACGCACCGGGCGCTCTCCACGCCCCCTGTTGGTTCGGAGGCCACAAGACGCGTCTAGGCGCGTGCGCGAGAGGAGGGCGGAGCTCCCCGCGGTGGTTGTGACCAGTCTGGTTGGAAAGAGACTGAGCATCGCGTTTGCTCAGTGTCGCTCTCTGTGTTGGTTTGTAGGGGTTTTTGTTTGTTTGTTTTTGCTTTGTTTGTCCCCAGGTTGGCCTGATCAATGGAACAGCGTCAAGGGCGGAAATAAATACTTAATTACCATCATTGCTGCATGATGCATCCTTCTGTGGTCTCTGTCTCTTACCCATGATATTAATACGAAATGATTCTTCATTTCCTGTTCAAGCCGTGCATTTGGATAAGCTGTCATCTCTGCTTTGTGTTCCCTGACGCAGAACTGTTGATCCTTTCGACCTCCCACCAGGGCTAAGTTCAAGTTCATCCACACCAAGGTGGCGCTGGCATGTCTAGTTACAGTTCCCTGAGCCTTGCACACGTTTCTTTCATTGTTCCACGCTCTGTAATTAGCACACGTGCCAGTTGCTTCAACCATTCTGAAATCATTGATTTCTAATGTCTATTATACAGTGTATGTTCAACAAATGGTTACACCATATATACTTTGTATTTATAAATCCTATTTTATCTTCCAATTTAAAAACAAAAGCAAGACCATACTTGCTTTTAGAAAAAAGAAAAAAAAAACTAACCAAGAAGTGTTGGAGAAGAGATAGGGCAGAGAAGGGAGGGGAGGCTGTGAGCTAGATGGGGGCGGAGCCTCTGAAACCTCTGGGCCTTGAGTAAATGAAAACCAATCTCAGACTCAGGCAGAGTAACACACAACTGAAATCCCAGCCAACATTCAGGAAGCTGAGGCAGGGAAATCTTAAATTCCAGGCCAGCCTGGGTTAAAGTGAAACCGTTCAAGAAGATAAAACAGTGTGCTTATCCCTACCACAACTAATATTAAGAAAATGGAGCCAGGCGGTGGTGGCGCACGCCTTTAATCCCAGCACTTGGGAGGCAGACGCAGGTGGATCTCTGTGAGTTCAAGGCCAGCCTGGTCTACAGAGCGAGTACCAGGACAGGCTCCAAAGCTACACAGAGAAACACAGAGAAACCCTGTCTGGAAAACCAAAAAAAAAAAAAAAAAAAAAAAGTGTCACAGAGGGCAGGAGAGATAGCTTAGTTAAGAAAACCTGCTGTTCTTCCAGAGGACCTATGTTTGGTTCCCGTTCATGTCAAGCAGCTAATAACCATCTGTAACTCTAGCTCCAGGGGCTCCAACACCTCTGTTTGCTGCAGTACACATATCCATTGCAGACACACACACTAGTTTTTTAAAGAGGTATCACTGAAGTTACTACGGGCCCCTCGCTGTACAGTCTTTGGTCCACCCATCTAAAGTGTGACTCTGGAGGGCCTGTCTAGTTCTCCGGACTCCCAGTGGGTGGGAGAAACTGTTTTCTTGACACAAAGCACTTTTAGGATTTGTTACAAATAAGTGACTGTCGCGTACGGCAATACCTTGTTGCCTGTGGTAGACCATTTCAGTTGTCAACTTGACTGGGGAACCATGGAGTCAGGGTGAATGTGTATTGTTGACACGGGCATAGCCCTGTCAGTGTAAAGGACCCCAGTGCCTCAGACCCATGGGAATGACATGGGTCAGGTCAGGGAAATGGCAAAGCCTACCTGTGCCAATGTTGACTGTGGGCGAAAACTGGCAAGGGCCGCTCCCTCCTCTGGGTGGCTGTGACCCGAGACTGCTCCCCTAGAGAGACCTCCTGCAGAGGTAGTTGAACCCCTCCTCTTCGTGCAGCGCATAATAAACTTGCTCAGTTTGCAGGCTGCATAGAAGGTGCTCTCCGTCAGAGTGTCGCAGCCAACCCAACCCCGGCTTTTCTGGCTGTGTTTCTGCTGGTTGTTTCCTGTCTGTCATTTCTGCCTTTCCAGCACCCAGCCATGCAGCACTCACCAAGCACATTAAAGGGACACACCTTCGGATGTGCCTATAGGAAATTCCCAGAGAGCATTAACCGAGGAAGAAATGCCCTGAATGTGAGGAGCAGACTGTGTAGAAAGGGTAAAGAGAAAACAGGTGGAATGCTGGGAGGCCCTTTCTCTACTTTCTGGGCATTGTTCTTTTGCTCATCCTGACGTCTCTACTTGGTTGTTCCTTTTCTTGCCTTGCGGAAGTTCATGCTGGAAGTTAGTCCATATTCTTTAAGGTAAGGCATCCAAGCCAGGTAAATACCGAAAAGAAAAGAAAAGAAAAGAAAAGAAAAAGAAGCCCCCGACAAAGACAGCTCTTGGAGGAACATCCTGACACAATAAGTTACCAATCTTAAAGGATGGTTTCATTTCCACAAAAATTTGTGTAAAAAACAAAAAACAAAAACTAGGGTTTAACTTTCAGCATGTTAATGAATGCTAGATGCAAACAATCATCATAATTACCTTCTTCTCAAGCAATTCAATTACAAATTTTCCTCCTAGTAACTGACCAAGAACAGCAAATCTAAATACTCTTATTTTAGTTGAAATCAAATAATATGGATGAACTTGACAGTCTGCCGACCTCTCCAGAGAAAAACACATTTGCTGTTGGTGATTTGAAGCCCAATCACTTCACAGACTGACTGTCCTCTAGGGGCTTGAAGGGCATGTTTTGATTTTCCAAAGTTCAGCTCACCATCCACAAAACCCCTTCTCCTGCTAGTGCCCTGGTTATGTGCTCCATGGTCTTCTCCTCTTTCCAAAGGACAATTAAGACACCCTTTCAGTTTCATGAGGAGCGAGGGCTTCAGGAAGAGTAGTCCCACAGGGTCCTGGAAAATGAAACCTAAATAGAAGGAGTAATAGAGCAGAATTAAGAGGTACATGTTAACAAAATGAACATACAACTACAGCTGATAACATATATCTAATGGTGTTTTACATTTTTCTTTTATTTTTTACATTTTTCGAGGCAGGGTTTCTCTGTGTATCTTTGGCTCCCCGGGAACTCACTCTGTAGATCAGACTGGCTTCGAACTCACAGAGATCCACTTACCTCTGCCTCCCAAGTGGTGTTTTAAATTTTTTTTTTTTGTTTTTTCGAGACAGGGTTTCTCTGTGGCTTTGGAGGCTGTCCTGGAACTCGCTTGGTAGTCCAGGCTGGTCTCGAACTCACAGAGATCTGCCTGCCTCTGCCTCCCGAGTGCTGGGATTAAAGGCATGTGCCACCAACGTCCAGCCTTTTTTTTTTTTTAATCTTTTTTATTTTTAAGATTTATTTATTACATGTACAGTGTTCTGCCTACATGCCAGAAGAGGGCACCAGATTGAACTGTAGATGGTTGTGAGCCACCATGTGGTTGCTGGGAATTGAACTCAGGACCCTTGGAAGTGCAGTCAGTGCTCTTAACCTCTGAGCCATCTCTCCAGCCCCGGTGTTTTAAATTTTTAATTGCCTTTTTTTTTTGTGGGAGAACAGACAGGGTCTCACTTGTAACTATGGCTGGCCTGGAACTTGCCATGTAGACCAGGCTAGCATTGAACTCACAGAGATCAGCCAGTTTCTACTTCTCAAGTGCCAGGATTGAAGGTGTGTACCACCAAATCCAGCTTTCATGGACTTCTTGGTTTTTTGTCTTTGGTTTTTTGTTTTGTTTTGTTTTGTTTTTTGAGACAGGGTTTCTCTGTGGCTTTGGAGGCTGTCCTGGAACTAGCTCTTGTAGACCAGGCTGGTCTCGAACTCACAGAGATCCATCTGCCTCTGCCTCCTGAGTGCTGGGATTAAAGGCTTGCACCACCACTGCCCAGCTTTCATGGACTTCTTTAAGTCCAGTTTTGACAATACTAAACATAACCCATCACAGACACCTATCTCAAGTCTGTGTGCCATAAGACTTTTATTGTGACAGATGGTTGAGGTATGATTGCAGTGTGTTTTACCATCTTAGTGCCAAATTCATGAGTGAAATTATAAACGTATACATATTTATATATATGAAGATGAAAATGGGTGGAAAGACATTCCATGTTCATGGATTTGAAGAAAATAATATTGTTAAAATATCTATCATACAACCCTATTGCAATTCTAATGTCATTTTTCATGGTAGATATAGATAAAACAATTCTAAATTTCATACATACACAGACCTCAATAACTGGTAAATTTATGAGCATAGTGGACAAAGCCAGAGCCTCTGCAGTAGACGACCTCCTCATAATATAATACAAAGTGACTGAAATTAAAAGCATGATACAGGCGCAAAGATAGACACATCAGCCAGCAATACAGAGTAAAGTTCAGAAATCAATTGATAGGTCTAGAGTCAACTGGCATCACAAATCTACCAGTGACACCATGGGAAAAGGAAGGTCTTTTTTAATAAATGGTGTTGGTAAATTAGATATCCACATGATGTGAAATGAAATTGGATCCTCGTCTCATACGATATAAAAAAAGCAATTCAAAACTACTATAAAAAACACTAGTCAAAGCGACAGACTTTTAGATTTGATTCTTAAAACATAGGCCACAAAAGCAAAAGTAAACAAATGTGATTATATAAAATTAAAATCAGCTTGGAGAATAACCCAGTGGTCAGACACTGTGCTGTGTTACCCTAGGCTACATCCTTGTCATTGGAAGAAGACAGTAGAGTCATGAGTTTGAGGCCAGCCTAGGCTATGCATTAAACTAAAATAAGATATATATTTAGTGCTGAATATTTGACGTAGATTTAGAGAGCTTGTCTAGCATGCACAGGCACTGAGGTCAAACCCCAGCATTATAAAATAAAATAGGTGTTGTGGTAATATTATTTATGAATTATTAAAGCTTGCCTGAAGGTACAGAAAGCAAAGTCAGTCACATTAGGTAGCTATAGAAGCCAGGCGCCTGGTGGTGGTACACAGCTTTAATCCCTCCACTTGGGAGGTAGAGGTAGACAGATCTCTGTTAGTTCAAGGGTTCACTGAACTACACAAAATTGATCCAGTCACAAAGAGAATCAGCTCCCACAAAGATGATCTCAGCACTTGGGATCACAAGTCTTTAATCCCAGCAACAGGGAAGTAAAGGGGGTCTCATGTGGAGATTAATTCTCCAGCCACTTGGGAAGAAGCAGTCTGAGGCTTGGTGAGAGCTCTTGGAAACAGGATCAGCCTTTTCAGCCTGAGGTAGAGGTAAGAGCTAGTGGCTTGACTACTTTGCTTTTCTGATCTGCAGCTTGAAGCTTGAACCGCAATATCGGTCTCTGGGTCTTTTATTATTCATGATACAATGAGGGGCTAGAGAGATTGCTCCACAGCTACTCTTGCAGAGGATTAGGGTTTGGCTCCCAGGACCCACATCTTGTAGCTCATAACAGCCTGTAATTCCAGCTCCAAGAGATCCAAAATCTCTGGTTTCCACAGGCATCTGCACCTGTGTATACATACTCCCCCATAGACACATAGACATATACAAAATTAAAATAAAGGAGTTCCTGTCAAGAATCCATTGGCCATTTGTTAAAGTATAAGCAACTACCTCCAGCTATAAATACTGGGTGTTTGCTTTGTTTTACTCATAAGAGCTGGGAAGATTAAAGGAACACTAGGAAAATTATGGGGATGAGAAAGGTGAGCTCCTGTTAGCAGGTCCCATCTCAAATGGAAGGCCTAGGTGTTAACAAACACAGCGAAGAAATAAAGCTAATGAGAATCCACTTGTGCTTGAAATAAAGATATAATATATACACTATTGTATATTTATGTTTATGTATAGCATAATATTTATACATTTACTATAATATATATAACATATATGTATAAATATAATTCAATGCATGCATATGTCCTTTTTCTTTAGACTTCACTTAAGTGAACTTTTAGGTTAAGAGATCAATAGGGGCCAGGCAGTGGTGACTCTCGCCTTTAATCCCAGCGCTCAGGAGGCAAAGGTAGGCTGATCTCTGTGAGTTCAAGGCCAGCCTGATCTACAGAGTGAGTTCCAAGATAGCCAGGGCCACACAGAGAAACCCTGTCTCAAAATAAAACAAAAACCAAACAAAAGAGATCAACAGGGGCCCAGCTGCACAGGTAAAGAAGGCTTTGCTCCCTACTGGATGGTAGAGCCAGGTGAGCATTCAAGTACCCTATCAAATGTGGCAACTGTTACTTAAAAGCCGGGGTTCTTCAAACCTTTGATAAGCAACATTAATAGCTCCATAGTTTTCAGGCTAACTTCTTAGATGTGTGGAACGCCAGTAATCAGCATTCACCATCAGTTACCTTTCTTCCCCACACACCAATGGATTACTTTCTTACCCCTAATCACCTCTTCTGGAACTCCCCACACTGACCATCCCTGCAGCCAGATCCCCTCCTTACTGGTCCTCGCACTGGCCAGCAGTACATCTACCTTGGGCCTTTGTATCAGGTAGTCCCAGGAATCTGGAATGTTCTTTTTTCAGCATATTCTCGTATCTGTTGAGGCTTCCCTTAAAGATTCCACCAGATCCTGCTGTCTGTTTGCCCCACACCCATTACACCCAGGCTCTTCTCACTGCCTCTGCACCTCAAAAGCCAGACCATGCCCCCACCATGTACACTGCTTACCACCAGCCTCGGCCACCAGCATCTGATCTTCACAGGGTAGGCTTGGGTTTTGGTTACTGATCTATCCTATCCTTGGGACTGTGGCAGTGTCTGGGACACCACGTACTTCAGCTAAATTCTGAAGATTAGGTAAAAAGACAGCATGGAGCTGGGCAGTGGTGGTGCATGCCTTTAATCCCAGTACTTGGGAAGAAGAGGCAGGCAGATCTCTGTGAGCTTGAGGCCAGCCTGGTCTACAAAGAGAGTTCCAGGACAGACTCCAAAGCTACACAGAGAAACCCTGTCTAGAAAAGCAAAAAATAAAAAATAAAAAATAAAAAAAAACCAACAACAACATGGTGGCTGAGAGCACTGACGGGTCCAAGTACTGAAAGGCCCCAAACAGAGCTGTGATGAGCAGACAGCCCATCTCTGTTCAGCCATGTACAAATCCTGGCATTGCAAGGACCCTTGAGGATCAGTCAGTAAAAAACTGAGGCAGGAAATAGCAACCAGGCAGGAAAGCCATCTGGATGGGGAAATGGTGCCTCTCACCTACAGGTAAAGGCTGTGACCACACCTACTTGAAAACCACAAATGCAAGCATAAAGTCTAGTGAAGAATATAAAGTACCAGTATAGAGAAGACAAGTTCTATGGAAACGCCCATGCTGTGAAACACAGCCCCCCAGTCTGCAGTTAATGGCATTTTGTTCTTTCATGAAAGTCAACCACAAATCAGACTCCCTTCTTTGCCCTCATTCTTCTTTGTCTCCCTCCTCCGTAGAGATCAGAACTGTACACTCTATGGGAATGACATCTCCAAGTAGACCCTCCACTCCCCATCACCTGGCTTTGACCATCCCTCCCTATACCTGAATCTGTTGGTGGCTGGGGTAGTTTCCATGTTAAACTCAGCCACTGGGACTCCCCTGGAAGCCACCTGAGGGGCAAACATGGCAGCTGGGTAGACCACAGAGGACGTCCCCACCTACAAAGCAAGCGGACAATGAGTGCTCTGGGTGAGATAAAACACAGGGGAAGCTTACTCAGGCGGGGACGTGGATGGAGGTGTGAGGGAAGCTGAGCTGGGCGAAGACGCAGTACGGAGACAAGTAACAGGCGTGACTTGGTTTGGTGTCTGGCCAGTCACTGAAATGGGGAACAACCATGAGACACAAAAGGACACTTGGTTAAACCAGACCATCAAAAAATGACCCAAAGGACATGTGTAAGAATCCCTGTTGTTCTGGTCTTGGAAGTTGTGCAAATGATACATGTTCTTTTGCTAACATGGGAAATAATCAATGTTAATGTTTTGACATACACACACACACACACACACACACTTTTCACAGGAATGTGAAGGCCACAGCACATTCTATAAACCAGGTTTTCTCACTAATGACCACCATTGCCACAGAGGCCTCACTCAACATGGAATGGACACAGTAAAAACAGAATGGAGATAGACCCACCACAAAGGGCCTCTGCTTTTAAAGAAACGGAGCTCTTCGTGCTCTTTCTGGTTAACTCCACCTTTAGCGAATGTGTCCTAAGAAAATTACTTGAGGAACATGCTAAGATTCCCACCTACATGTATTCATACAACATGGCTTCAAAAACCAAACTCTGAAACAACCTAAGTTGGACCTAGAGTCTTCAGACCTGTAATCCTAGCATGTGGGAGGTAGAGGCTGGAGGATGAAGAATTCAAGTCTGGCTTTGGCTATGCAGTGATACAATACCCTCCTGAGATACATTAGACGCTATTCAAAAAACAACCTGAAACAACCCAAATGTCCTCACTGTATCATGTGTGTACTAGGAAATCATACAATGAGCTAAACAATGTGACAGCTTGGATATGTTGACATGGGATATGCCAACTGAATTTTCATATGAATAAAAGTCTCAAGACAGAATGTGTATTATGAGTATTTGATGTATATACATCTACATATGGAAGGGTTAAAATCATAAATGGCCAACTTTTGGGGGGGGCACGGGGAAGAGCCATACAGTAAAATTGATAGACTCTGTAGTCCATCCAGTCTCTGCCACAAGGACTCAACTCCTGGTCCAGAAGAAAACATCAAAATGCTACCAGTGATTATTCCCAGATGGTAGGATGTAGAGGTTTCTAATCTCCTTTTTGTGCTTTGATTCTTTCATATTTTATCAATGATGTACATTTAATAATGAACATGCATTATATTTCAGATCTAGGCCAGGGCCGGCAAGATGGCTCAGCAGGTAAAGGAGCTTGCTGAAAAAGCCCAGTGACCCAAGTTTGTCCCTTAGAACCCATGTAAAAGTGGAAGGAGAGAACTGACCCTACAACATTGTCCTCTAATCTCCACACATGCATGTGGCACCTTCACACACAAACATCATGCATGCACGCACATACGATAGATGAATCAAGAAAATCTGATGCTTTCCCAATGACATTATGATAGTATATCACATCTCTAAATGTATACCACTCTAAAAAAGCATGCTCCTTTTGTTAGTTCCTAGGGGAAGAGAGGTTTTTAAAGATGATCAGGTTGGGCGTTGGTGGATCACAACCATCTACAATTCAATCTGGTGCCCTCTTCTGGCGTGTACACAGAATACTGTATATGTAATAAATAAATAAATCTTTAAAAAAAAAAAAAGAAAAGAAAAACCAAAAAAAAAATGATGATCAGAACATGGTCTTGCCTTTTCATATTTTAAGGTCAGTTCTTGGAGCTGGAGAGATGGCTCAGTGGTTAAGAACAGTTGCTACTCTACTCTGCCAGATGACCCAGCTTTAATTCCCTGCACCCACGCCAGGTGGCTCACAACTCTTTGTAACTCCAGGAGATCCAAAGCACCCAGCCTCTGAGGACACTGAGCTCACATGCAGATACACAGATCTAAAGATAAAAGTAATAAGACCAATCTTTCTAAAAGATTACTCTTGGCCTGGAGAGATGGCTCAGTGGTTAAGAGCACTGGCTCCCCTTCCAGAGGACCTGAGTCCAATTCTCAGCAACCACATGGTGGCTCACAACCATCTATAATGAGATCTGGCTCCCTTTTCTGGCCTGCAGGCATACATGCAAATAGATCATTGTATACATAATAAGTAAATGAATCTTTTTTTAAAAAAAAAGATTAGTTCTTATTTATTGTTTCTGGGCTTTGTTTTGTTTTGTTTTCCCTGCAGGACACTATGAGACTTCCACACACATCTTTCAGGAGAGGAAGAAGGGAGGGAGTGAAGGAGAAGAGGAATAAGAGGAAGTGATAAGACAAGGAAGAAGGGAGGGAGATGGTGACCAAACACACCCCATCCCAGTCTTTCCCGGGCCTGGGGACTAGGAACATGTGTGACCTACCACTAGACACAGGTCACAGAGGGCTAGCTCTCTGTCCACCTCTTCCAGAACAGCAGGATCCAGGTTTTCTCCGAACCACACCACATGAGGTCTCAGCAAGCCACCGCAACCTGCCTCCTCACACCTGGAAGAACATTAGCCTTCAGTCTTCCCTAACTGCTTGGGCCTGGACTGCCCAGGCTCCCAGGAGATGGGAGCTTGCCCTGGGCTGTCCTGGATCCCAGGAGATGGGAGCTGGCCCTGGGCTGTCCAGGATCCAGGAGCTGGGAGCTTGCCCTGGGTGTGGGGCACTCAGGTGACTTTGCCCTATTAAGTTCTTATCTTGTCTTAATCCACCGAGCTGTGTAGACACTGCTTCTGCTAAGCTTGGCCTTCCCGCTCTAAAGCTTGTTTCTCGCCCCACTGTGCACTCATTGGCACAAACACTCCCATTGCCCAGACCTCAGGACGGCTCCCAACACCCGAACCACCTGTCTCCACCAATGACCTCCTTTACTTTCTCTCAGATCACTTCTTTCTTGAGACCGGCCCACAGCCAAATTCTCGCTCTGCCTCTTGATGGGACCAGGGCTCTTCGTTCAGTAGAGCGGGGTTCTACCAACAGACAGTTCTCCCCAACTTCCTTTTGACTTTTTATTTTGAGACAGTTTTGTTAAGTTGCCATAGCTGCCTTTGAACTCCCTTGTGGGCCAGGCCAACCATGAACTTGTGATTCTCCTATCTCAAGCTTCCTAGCCTGGTCTACAGAGTGAGTTCCAGGACAGCCAGGGTTACACAGAGAAACCCTGTTGGGACAGGGGATTTCTCCTTTTATTCCCTATTACCTCTAGATAATGCAGGCTAGGTTTATGTCCTAAAATATTCTGCCTATCATATCAGCTTCTTTTTTTTTTAAAGATTTTTCAAGACAGGGTTCTCTGTATTGTTTTGGAGCCTGTCCAGGAACTCACTCTGTAGACCAGGCCAGCCTCGAACTCACAGAGATCCACTTGCCTCTGCCTCCAGAGTGCTGGGGTTAAAGGTGTGCACCACCAACGCCTGGCTCAGCCTCACCTTCTTAATGTCCTACTAAGGAAACTTCTAGAATCACCTGACTTTTTTAGACTGAAACTTCAGAATTTAGTAATGAAAAGCCACATTAAAAAATGAAGAAAAAAAAGAAAGAGAAAAAATTAAAAGGGTCTGTGGTTAAAATAAGCCAAAGAGGGATCAATATAGTATAAGGACATTTCAGAAAGCACTGATTTGGGGCTGGAGAGACGGCGCCACGGTGAAGAGCACACCGCTCTTGCAGAGGACCCAAGCTAGTCTGGTGGCTCACAACCACCTGTGCCTTGTGCTCCAGGGAATCCTAGTGCCTCTGACCTCCGAGAGCACTGCATCCAGGGCTACATACCCACATGCTGATGTACCCACATAGACAGATGCATGTAAAGATCAATGTGTTTGAACTTTAACCTTTTTTGTTTTGTTTTTAGAGACAGGGTCTCGATATGTAGCTTTAGCTGTCCTGGAACGAAGAGACCTGCCTGTCTTTGCCTCTCCAGTGCTGGCATTAAAGGCGTGGGCTCACATTTCTCTGCTCTGTATATGTGCACATGTGCACCCGTGTGCTGATGCTCTTGCCTGTGCATGTGGGGGGAGGGTGGGAACAGAGGTCGCTGGGGATCTGGCCCTGTCGCTCTCCATATTATTCATTGAGAGAGGTCATTGGGGCTGCTGTTTTGTCTAGACTGGCAAGCCCCGAGAATCCGTCTGTCAGCATGGGTTTCCAGGCACTCACGGCAATGCCCAGCTCTTCTGTGGGTCTTGAGAATCCACATTTAGGTTCTCGTGTTTGCCTAGCAAGCACTTTAACCACTGGGCATCTTCCAGTCCCCAATAAACACCCTTTGGAAGCACTGTTTCAATCTCTGGTTTTGAATTTTCAAAATCTAATGTACTTTATAACATACAAAACTATGTTTTAATTGTTTCCGATTTCTTTATTTTATGTGGTGGGAGTTTTGACTGCATTTAAGTATGTGCACTATGAGTATGCAATGCCCTAGGAGGCCAGAAGAGGGCATCAGATTCCCTAGAACTGGGGTTACAGGCAGTTGTGAACCACCACCCCCCTTCGTGTGGATGCTGGGAATTGAACCTAGATCCTCTGGCAGCGCTCATAACTGCTGAGCCATCTCTCCAGCCACATTTTTTCCTGTAATTTCACCCTTGCAAGACCTTTGCCACATCCTCAGTATTGGACTGGGAGTCATACAGAGGAAGAGGAGGTGGACTATTTACTAATTATACTATAAATATCCTATAATTATAATTATGGTGTGCTTCCTGTGTGCAGATTATCATCTGTCACATAACTGCTTCAGAAACAGATCAAGGGATCTGTCAGGACTCAAAGAGAGATCAAAGTTAGGTGTTGGGGAAGTCTTATGTTAATAAAGTACTGTTGAGCCAATAGGAATCTAGATGGGTGGGACTAGGAGTCCAGGAGGATTCTGGGAAGGAGAAACACAAGAGTTCGAGATGTAACGCCATTGGGGTAGGAAGCCTGGAAACCTCTCCGGTAAGAGACATACTTATATTAACAATTATGGGGTAATTACTTAAGTCAGAGCTAGCCAGTAAGAAACAAGCAAGGCCAATAGCTTCATAATTAATACAGCGTCTTGTGTGTTTATTTGGGGACTACAATGCGGCAGAGTCCAGGCGGCTGGTGGGGGATAAACCAAAGCGGTTAGCAAAGAAAAAGCTTCTCTTAACAGTTAGGCAGTGTATTTGTAACTACTCAGGCTGAGACAGGAAGATCATTTGAGCCTAGGAGTTTGAGGTGAGCCTGGCCGACACAGCAAAACAGGCTCCTTACAAAGAACCTGGAAGATGTTTCTTTCTTTCTTTTTTTTTTTTTCCTTTCACCTCTGGACTCAGAGTAATTGTTGTATTTGTACATTTAAAAGTCATCTCACAAAAAACAAGTTGAGATTTTGATTTCTAATTACATCCGATTTTCACTTACCGGGGAAGTTTGTCGACTGGGATTCTGGCATCCTGAGTCTCTGGTTCTGGAGCCCTGGAGTAAACAGTGGGAAAGATAATGAGTGCCAGTGGTACAATCAAATAACAAAGGAAGAATGTGACATACCCTTTGTCTCTTGCCTGACTGCAAATGATGCAAAATTTGCTCGTGCATGCTAACTCAGGATCATAGAAGCATGGACCCTAAATCCTGACCATTGGTTTTGCTTCAAGAGGGAATTTGTGTAGGGGAGAGTCTCAGTGGAGTGTTTGATGCTTCTCCAATAAAGTTATGTTAGTATTTTATTTCTGTAAGTTTATACTGCTCTGAAAGGTTCAGAAGAATTTTTCTCAGTAGTTTGAGTTGACGCCTAAATTGTTCCTAATTACAACAATAATACACATTCATCATAAAATTTTTGGGAAATCCACAATGATATGGAGGAGAAATAAAAAATTACCCATAATCTCTCCATTCCTCATAGTCACAGTCAATCCTTTCCTGTATTTTCTTGTGGTCTTTTAGCGAATATACAGATCCATGAAGGTGGGGTGTGAATTTGTATAAATAAAATTTGGGGATCACACAGAAAATACTTAGTATGGTAAATTATGAGTCAAATATTCAGATATCTGTACAGTGTCTAGTCTTATGCATTAGAAATATCCAAGAGAATCTTCAATGAATGTTCATGTTCAATTCAAGGAGGAATGACATTTATTCTACAGCACAATATAATTACCCCTTTCCTGCTAAAGCTGGACAAATTGGACTCTTGTAATTCTCAGCCACAGTGCCACATGAGGTGCACCGAGTTTTAAATAAGGTTCCTGAAAGAAAAGACACATGTCAAGCAAGTTCAGAACTTAGTATCATTGAGAGCAAAGTCTCCATGTTTGGGAGGTCAGAAAAGAATTCATCTTCCTAGGTTCATTTTTCACGAGTGGGTCTACTCTAGGAATTATGGGAAATAGGAAAACATGCTGTCTTGGTCACTGTTCTGTTGCTGTGAAGAGAAACCATGACCAAGGCAAGTGTTTAAAAGAGAGAATTGAATGGTGGGTCTGCTGACAGTTTCAGAGGGCTAGTCCACTACCGGCACTGTGCAGTGGGCTCTGGGAGAAATGCAGATTTTCTTTCGGTGTGTCCAGGCAGGACCTGTCTAACTGAACGCCAGGGATGTTTTCACTATTGGTTCTCGGGCCACACTCCAACTAGCAGGTTGCAGGAAGTAACTAGTGAGTGGTGCCAGTGGGCAAAGTGTCCCTGTTGCCAGCAGGAGCTGCTCAGGTGCTATCCGGCACCAGTGTGCCCCCGAGGGAAGTGCCACAACATCCTGGGGGAGGGACAGACATGGTAACCAGCAGGGGTGGTGGTGGCACATGCCTCTAATCCCAGCACTCAGAAGATAGAGGAAGATGAATCTCTGTGAGTTCAAGGCCATCCTGGTCTAAAAAAACAAAACAAAACAAAACAAAACAAAACAAAACAAAAAACAGTTCCAGGATAGTCAGGGCTACACACAGAGCAAACCTGCCTTGAAAAAACAAGCAACCTGGCCTTCCTCACCATGGATTTCCAGCAGGTTCTTGGTGCCGGCCTTTCGGTGCAGCTCATCTATGTTCTGGGTGATGACTACAACCCGTCGGCCCTGGTCACGCAGCCGGGCTTCACATTGGGCGATGGCCAGGTGTCCAGGGTTGGGTTCCTTGCTCCGCATGACCTCCCTCCGGTAGTGGTAGAACTCCCACACCTGTGAAGGGTTGCGGGCAAAGGCCTGAGGAGTGGCCAGGTCCTGAGGGGAGAGGCAGAGGTCAGTGAGGGACCTGTGAGGTGGAGATGGGCAGCTGTAGGTCTGGCTAGACTGGGGAGCACTGGCCTAGATCCCAGGCCTGGGGCCAACCCAGGGCTTTAGACAGGTCATCCTCAACTTCCCCACCTGAGACAGACATGACGTGACCTGCCTCACTCATCTCACAAATTATGACAAGAAGTAAAGAGACATATGGGAAAGCATCTGGGTTGAATTTACTCTCAGAGCTCTGAGAAATAAAAATTTGATTTTACTGTAAGGGATCTCCAAGAAAAACATGAAATGAAAAATGCCCTAGTGAGTTCCATCAGGCACAGAGAGGGGCTTAGACAAGGAACTACACACCTATATGCACAGACACACATACCTATACACAACTAAAAATACAGCACATCCAAGCACACAGCATACAATTGTACCAATTGCACACATACTTGCACAGACACACATACCTACACACAACTAAAAACATAGCACATATAAGCACACAGCATACAACTATACACATCTACACAACTACATACAGTTATATGTATTGTGCACAAATTACATATATGCACATGCACATACACACAGCTATACTTGTACAGCTATTTATATTTATACATAACTCTACATATATATGTATACATGGTATACATATACACAGTTACAAGTATTTATGCTAAAACTATACACAGATATTTGCACACATACAACTGCATGTATATATATAGTTACACATATACAGCTACATGTACTTATACATAAACCACATGCATATGTATGTGTGTACACATAAGTACATACAAACATGCAGTTATACATATTACATACACATACATACAATTACATGCATGTAGTTACATGTTATAACATGCAAACTACATACATATATACACATCTATATATATACACTTACACACAACTATACAATATATCCAACTATATATATATGGTTACATGTACTCATAAGTACGAATGTACATATGCATACAACTAAACATAAGCATTTAGTTACATGTACTTATACATGAACAAATATATACAGAGAGACATACAACTGTATAGGTATGTCATATCTACTTACACATAAACCACAAGAATGTATGTACATATAAAAACTATATACATACATATGGCTATGTACTTATAAGCTACACATACACATATCTAGATAGATAGATTATAGATATATAAAGGAAGGTCAGGAGAACTTGAGCCAACCTGGAAAACAGAGTCTAGACCCATTTAAAAAGCTGCTCCTTGTTTGGGAGGGGGGATGGCATCCTCCACCCCAGGAGACTGAACCCAGTAGGGGGAGGGCTCCCAAGAGTCTATAAAAAATCCAGACTAGAGACTCTGGCAGACTCCATCTTCAGGGCAAATCTCATGCCCTTGGTAGAAGCTGTTTTGTTCTAATAAAGTTTGTCCCTTTTGCTCTTTGTCTCTTTGTGGAAGGTCCTTCTGGTTCTGCTTCAATTTGTGACTTACTTTCATTCTGTCACCTGTCCCCAGGATGATAACCCACTGTCCCTCTGGACCCCCAGGGTCTCTACTTCCACTTTGGGGCAGGGCAGGGCACATCACTGCCTCAGATCTCTAGCTGACACAGTGTCAATGGCTTCTCTCTGTTTCCCAGTTACTTCTCATACCTGTCTGAATGAGTCTCTCCAAACATACAATCCTTTGTTTGTCCCATGGAATGAAGCCCCTGGTACCTTAGAAGACCACCCCTCACCCAAGATACTCATAACACATATGCGTGCATGCATATACACACCAACTATACAGAAATGCATACACTCTCAACCACACACATGTATAAGTCACATTAAATACATGCATACTTATACATAAAAACAACACATGTCAACAGAATACACGAGAGATCTGCACTTAAGGCACCAGCCCTCTCCTAAGGCATAGCACAGCTGTTCGGACTGGAAACTGACAGGAAGTGCACAAGGAAATCCTTAATAGTTATGGAAATGTTCTGGGTCCTGCCTGTGTTACCTCAGGGCTGCACTGAACTGCACATAACAAAGTTCATTTCAGGCTGGGTCAGTTTTGAAGCTTATAAGGGTGTCCCACATACACAAACATGTCCCCACCCCAGGCAGAGACGTCCCCACCCCAGGCAGAGACAGTAGCCTTCCCTTTGAGACCCTGTGCTCCCTCTGGACACCTAGGACACCCTGGCCAGGAGCACTTACAACACCCTGGCCAGGAGGACCTATGCCACTACCCTATGAACTGTAAAGGCATCCACAGGCCCTTGGGGGTAGAGTTGGAATCACATGTGCCCTCTGACCTCTCCGACTACTGGCAAACTCTGAGCTCCCTCTGACATTAGAGCAGCCCCTCCCAGTTCTTCCTGCCACCTGCTACTGTCCCCAGGGGTGCCTCTGGTGGTCCTTCTCTCTTACTGGACTCTTAGTGCCCTCTACTCCTTTCTCACCTCCTAGGCCTGAAGAGTGCCAGCACATCCCACAGATCCCCCTGCTTCAGCATTTAGGAGGACAGGAAGAGACAGTCCTTGCTCTGCACTCAGTGAGAAAGCCCTGCAGATTCTGCAACGTATGCTCTAAGGTGGTTAATTTTGTCTTCATTCAACCAACCAAAATGTATGTACCAGTGTTCTGGGGCTGGGAGCTTCACAATGGATACAACACATGGAGATCCCTGCCCTCTAAAACTAAGGATTTCCAGGATGGGAGAAATGGTTTAGCAGTTAAGAGCGCCAGAGCCTGGATCCCAGAACCCGCATTAGGCTGCTAACAATCGCCTGCAACTCCAGCTGCAGAAGACATAATACCCTCGTCTAGCATCCCAGGGCACAAGGTGCATCTGCACCACCCCCACCCACATATGCACAATTAAAAAGGATTTCCCAAGCCAGAAGGGATGGGAGGGAACAGAAGAAGGCAAAGGACCATCATGGACTGTTCTGGAGAAACAGTGCTGGATCTGGAATATCTTCTAAAGGCCTGGCATGTTGGAAGCATGGCTCCCAGCTTGGCACAAATGAAAAGATGTGTGCCTTTGAGAAGTGGGGTCTAACGGGAGTGTTTAGGTCACTAGGAGTAACGTGAAGGGGACTGAGAGGCCCTGGTGACTTCATCCTTTTTCTTGCTCTGCTGTGTGTTCCCCATGCTCCCTGTCATGATATACTTTCTCATCACAGGCCCCAAAGTAGCAGGACCAATGCATCATAGAGTAAAACTTCCAAAACTTGGAGTCAAAGTTGACCTTTTCTCTTTATAAGCCAAATATCTCAGATGTCTGTTATAGTAACAGGAAATATATATATATATATACACACACACACATATATATATGTATATATATCTTGTGTGTAAGTGCATGCAGTTGTATATGTGTATAGATGTGTATATGTGCATGTATATATGTGTGGTTTAAAAGGACGTGTAGCTGTGTATATGTGTGTAGTTGTGTGTGCATATACTAGCTAGTTATTTGTTAACTTGCCACAAGCTAGAGTCATCTGAGAAGAAGGATCAATTGAGAAAATGCCTCCATCAGATTGGCCTGTAGGTAAGTCTGTAGGGCATTTTCTTGATTAATAATTAATGTAGAAAAGTACAGCAACTCTTATAAAGGAAAACATTTAATTGAGTCTGGCTCAAGTTTCAGAAGTTTAGTCCATTATCATATGGCTGGAAGCATGGCAGCGTGCAGGCAGATATGGTGCTGGAGAAAGAGCTGAGAGTTCCACATTTGGATCCATCAGGCAGCAGGAAGAGAGAATGACACTGGGCTTGGCTTGAGCATCTGAAACTTCAAAGCCCACTTCCTATGGCACACTTCCTCCAACAAGGCCACACCTCTTAATAGTGCCACTTCCTATGAGCCTATGTGTGTACACTCACACACAAACAGATATACATACACATAAATAAAATAAATAATAAGCATTTTGAAAAATCAAATCCATACACACCACATGGAACATATATCGTAATGTCCTTCACATAATTGTTTAAACACCAAGTTCTAAGCCTTCAACAAGTTTCACAGAAACTTTACAATGTTTCACACTTAATTCCAACTATCTTTAGAAATGAATTGTGCTAACCAAGGTTAATGCAGTTCCTAGAAGAGCTGCATTGTTAATCATAATAATAAAAAAAGGAAAAGATGCAATATTTTCACATACAGAAGCTAAGGGAAGTGTCTGCTTTGCTCAAGTGTGAGACCCTCCGAATGAAACATTTCCCTAGTAGGGAAGGAGAGGCCCCAAAGCCTCGGGTGATAAACAGGAGGTAAACATAAGGTCGCATGTGTCAGATGACAAAACTTCAAAGATTCTTGAGACCCCTATCAATGGAAGAGAAAGGAGCAAACAGCTGCTGTGAGCCGAGGCGTGGACCTCTCACCTCCCAAAGAGAAAGATGTTGACTACAGAGCTGCCTGTTAGCCACGTGAAGGAGCTCTGGGGTCCTGGGCACCATGGCCACAGTTTGTGGGAGTCATCAGATAAGGTGAGGTAGGCTTTCCAGAGATGCTGGTAACTCCTTTAACTCCAGTAAAAAAAAATTCTTCACTACTTCACCCAACTGGACAGTGGTGCAGTCATGGCTTAGGACTGCCATGCACTCCCTTTCTGGGGTGAAGTGTGTGTGTGTTTCATACACATGAGTATACAGATGTGCACACCCGTGTATGAGAAGCCAGAGGACACTGGGTGTTTCCCTGTTGCTGTCTGCCTTATTCCCTTGGAACACAGACTCTCACTGAACTAAAAGCTCACCATATAGGCTAGGCTGGCTGGACAGCAAGCTTCCAGGACCCTGGTCTCCACTTCCCAACGTTGGGGTTTCAAGCGTACACAGTTATGCCCAGCTCTCTGTGTGGGTGCTGGGAGTCCAACTCAGGTTCTCACGCTTGATGCTTGCACAGCAAGTGCTCTTATGCACTCAACCCATCTCCCTGACCCCAGCGTGCTATCATAATCATCCTAGAGACTGCGTTGACACCAAAACCAAGAAGGTAAAATGATTACGGACAACTTCAATCGCTGCCCCTGGGCTTCAGGCATCTGTATGGAAGCTGAATCAACCTCCATAATAGCTCTATTCAGAAAAGCCTTTGGTATTCTGGAAGCGTTACTAACCTGAGCTTGCCATTTTCTCCAGTAACCCCCAGCTCCTCTGAAAGTTGGGACTCCACTCTCCGCACTAACGCCAGCGCCTGAGATGATGGCGATGTGCTTTGCACTCGCAAAACACTTGCGAAAATCTGCCATGTCTAAACAGAAAATAAAAGCTGTGTCAATCCAGAGTACCAACAGGACATTTATAGCCCACATCAATTGTCTGTGACATGAAACTTGACATTGAATAAAATCATACCACAGGGGCTGAAGAGCTGGCTCAGCGATTAAGAGCACTTGCTGCTCTTGCAGGGACATGGTGCTTCATAACCATCTGTAGCTCTGGTCCCAGAGCATCTGGTACCCTCTTCTGACCTCTGTGGCACCAGACACACACATGCATACACAAACATGCATACATACAGGCAAACACGCATACATATTAAATAAAGCTCCAAAACATGAAAGATTTAGGGTATTCCAATAAAAAGCATTCCTCGGGGCTGGTGACATGGCTCAGAGAATAAGGGCACCAAGCCTGGTGACCTGAGTTCAATCCCTACGTGGTGGTAGAGTAGGAGAGCAGACTTGTATAAGCTGTCCTCTCACATACACACACACTATGGCACATACGTGTCCCTGTCCCTTAAATAAATAAAGTTTAAAAACATTCCCTGTACCACAAAAACATCATCTTGTACACTGGGTGGGTGGGGGCTTTGGGTACACACCTAGCAAGCATCTTAGCTCCCCCTCCATCCCACTGTGTGATCTAAAGTGCTTACTTTCTGTCTACTTGGTTCCATGGGCCTGCTTGGTGTGCATGATACCTTATCTTAGAGCATGGTCGTGAAAATATAAAAGGGTTGATGGAATCAGATTTCTTCTGGAAAGTCAGGACAAAGCCTGCGGCCAAGCTGAACTGAGGCCCGTTAGATACCAAACATCTAAAATTCTCCTCATAGCCACTTGCCCTGTGAAAACCATGTTAAACCTCAGCACCGTGACCAGTGCAGGCATTTATAAGGATGACTTACTTGAACTTGGACGAGCCATGGTGAGGCAGATCTTGTTTTGTGGGGAGGCTAGAGGCTTCAGTCTACGACACAGCTGAGAAATGAATCGACTTGGCACAGTCTGGAGTAGTTGCATCAGGTTTTCTTTGAAGTGCTACTTCTCCGAAGGCTTTAGAAAAGTTATAAAATAACACAGAAACAATAATAAAACCTTCAAACACATAGTGTGTCTTTGTCTCGCTAGAGGTGTCATTGCATGTATACAAGTACACACATTTTGCTACTGATTCAAGATAACTAGTCCTAAGTGGAAAATCTCATAAATACACTCAGCCATCAGAACATGGTTAGTCCAGCCTACTTCAAATGTGCTCACAGCACCACTTAATGTGAAATCCATTAGAATAAAGTACCAAGCATCTCACTATTTCTAATTTCATTTATTTATTTATTGCAAAAGAGTCTGCTTACATACTGCAGCATAGCCTTGAATAATGATCCTCCTAATGCATCCTCCCAAAGCCAGAGTTTACAAGCCTGAATGCTACCATGCTAAAAGAAATGATTTTTAAGCTTCTGGGGGTGGGTGAAACCCAGGGCTTTGATTGCAGCAGGCATCTGGAGCTACGCCCTTGTACCTTATTGAATACTGAACTAAAAAAGGAACGTTGCAGTGGTGAAGCTGAAAACTCATGGTGAGTAAGGGACTATATTGGCAAGAATGCCCTAACGTGGTGGAGACAGGAGCAGCAGGAGTTCAAGGTCATCGTCAGTGATGTAGAGTGGATGGGCTACATGACAACCTGTCTTTAAAAAAAACAAAATAAGCTGGGGGGGGGGTGGCACATGCCTTTAGTCCCAGCACTCGAGAGTCAGAGATAGGAGTTCGAAGCAAGCCTGGTCCACAGAATGAATTCCAGGACAGCCAGGGTGGTAGTACAGAGAAACTCCGTCTCAAAAAACCAAAAAGAAACAAAACAAAACAAAAAGCCCCCAAGACAAAATGAAACAAAACAAAAGAAGAATGATAAAACAAAAAGAATGTCCTTAATTGAAGCCTTTAGCAACAGAACATGATATTCAGCCTGGTTCTTTTCATTTATGCTTTGGGCCGCTGCTCAGGTGTCCAGCGACTCTCCCGTGGGGCTGCTCACATACAGCCTCATCTGAGACCCCCAGGGATGCAAAACTTCCGCTTCCACCCCAGACCATGGTCAGACCCTGGCCAAGCCCACAAAGCTCTGGGTAATCTTGATGGCCACTCATGTTTGGTATCATGGGTGTAGAGACTCGGGAAAGTGTTAGATGTGAGGAATGTGTGCATGTATGTATGTGCGTGTGTATGTGATGTGTGAATGTGTGTGTGGTGAATGTGTGTGTGTGTGCACTCGCATGAGTGTGTGTGAAATGAGGATCAAAGGACAACTTACAGTGTGGATCCTCAGAATTTGAGACAGGACCCCTCACTGGACTCTAGAACTTGCCAACTCAGCTAAGAGACCCAGGGATCTCCATGGTTCTGCCCCCCCTCCCCAGTGCACACATCACCACACCTAGATTTTTTTTAACATGGGGCCTGGGATCAGGTTTAGGTCTTCAAGCAAGACACTTTACTGACTGAGCTATCTCTCCAGCCCCAAACATGAGAATTCTAAATAAACCAAAACAACAACAAAGGTTGCTTTTTTTTTTTTTTTTTTTTTTTTTTTGGTTTTACGAGACAGGGTTTCTCTGTATTGTTTTGGAGGCTGTCGGTCCAGCCCGGCCTCGAACTCACAGAGATCCGACTGCCTCTGCCTCCCGAGTGCTGGGATTAAAGGCTTAAAGGCGGAAGCCACCACCGCTCGGCCAAAGGTTGCATTTGTAACAATACAAACAATATAAAACACTTTTTAAAACCTGGCTACCTATTTTAAGTATGTTTTTTATTTTTAATTATGTCTCTGTGTGCATATATGGGTATGGAAGGGTGTTTGTTTGTTTGTTTGTTTGTTTGGGTTTTTTTTGCACATGAAAGCAAAACCATGGAAGCCTGAAACGTCAGATCTCCAGGAGCTGGAGTTACAGACATGCTGTCAAGTCATCCCTCCAGCCTCCTTCCTGAACTTATGATCAAGGAGTTTTGATGATGAAATGATTTTTGACAACTGAACTAAACCGGGGCTATGTGTACTGCCACAACTAAAGAGATGTGGGGGACACTGACACTTGTAAGTTATGAGGCACATTTAGCAAAAGTACATACTTGAGAAACTTTATAAGAAGAAAACAGGGGCTGGGCATGGAGGCATTGTTCCTGCACTTGCAGCACGCAAGATGCCAACAGCAGGAGAGGATTGTTGCTAGTTCAAAGCCATAGTGAGTTCTATGTCAGCCCAATCTACATAGTAGACCCAGTCTCAAAAGGAGAGAGAAACAGCAGTTGGGTTGATCCAAGATGACTTATCTACAGACAATAGAGGATTGGGTTAATAAAAGAGCCTAGGAAAGGCCCTAAATCCTTCAGTAAGCAAGGAAAAAAAATTCACAGTGTGCAATATGGCTGTTCATCAAAAAGAAATCAGGGCTGGGGAGAGGTTAAGTCAGTAAGATCCACACCATGTAAGCATAAGAGCCTAAGTTCAAATCTCCAGTACTCATATAAAAACGTAGGTGTGAGAGACAGCACATGCCTGTAACCTCGGCACTGAGGGGAGGGGCACACGAAGAAAGACTAGAATGGCTGACCAGCCAGTCAGCCTAGCCAAACAGGCAAGCTCAACATTCAGCGAGAAGCCCTGCCTCCAAAAAGAAGTACAGGGCCAGTGAGATGGTGCTTGTCACCAAGGCTGATGGCCTGAGTTTGATCCCCAGAACCCACATGGTAGAACAAGAGAAGACTCTGCCACTATCTGTCCCCTGAGCTTCACAGTGTGCTATGGTATGAACACTTACCCCCCCCACACACACACACAGAACAAGAGAAGACTCTGCCACTATCTGTCCCCTGAGCTTCACAGTGTGCTATGGTATGAACACTTACCCCCCCCCACACACACAAATACATGTTTTTTAAAAACCTTTTTAAAATTAAGATAGGAGTAGAGCAAGAAGTCAATAGTGGCCTCTGGCTTCCACATGTACACTTGGACCCACACAGCTATGCAATACACAGTCATTCACATACACTAACATTGTTGCAAAGAATTCATGATTATATTTCTATGACATTCCAAAATAAACAGAGATTATATTTGTGGTTGTGATGGAAAGGGAGGAAATACAAAGAGACATGGGTAAGAGAAGTAATGAATGTGTCCCATGTCCTGATCATGGTAGCAGTTACATGGCAATGTCTAATAGAAATTACACAAGTGTACACTCAAAGAAGAGTTCATTTTACTGTATTTGAGGTATATTTAAAAGCAATGGGTAAAAAGTTAGAGTTTTACAAGATGGAAAAAGTTCTGGGGAAGAATGTCCCAGCCACCAACCATGAGTACACCATGGTTTTAAAATGGTTAGGACTGTGGGATGGTTATCTTCATTGTCAACTTGACCCCATTTAGATCACCATGGAAGTAGCTCTGAGGTCACCTATGAGGGTGCTCCAGGAAGGTTTAATCAAGGAGGGAAGACCCGCACTGAAGGTGGGTGACACCAATGCACAGGTTGGGGTCATAGATTGAATCAAAAGAGAAAGGGAGCCGAGCACCAGCATACACTCTCTCTGCTTCCTTATGCAGATGCAGAGTGACCAGCTGCCTCACACTCAGTCGCCGTGCCTTCCCTGCCACGATGGCTTGTCCCCTCAAACTGTGAGCCAGAGCAAAGCCTTCCTTCTGTAAGCTGCTTTGTCAGGTGTTTCGTCATAGTGATGAGAAAAGGAACTAATACGGATGGTGAAATTTATGTTCTGTGTATTTTGACCAGGTATTAAAAGTCAGAATAAGAGAGTTTGGTATCAACTGACAGAGGTCACCAGAACAACAGTGTTGGAGGGAAAGGTTAATTAGTACTTCATAAGAGATGGGGATGACAAGAATTCCGTATTAGGATGTTTACTTTAAAATTAAGAATTCCCTTTGGGCAGTGGTGGCGCATACCTGTAATTCCAGCACTCGGGAGGCAGAGACAGGAGGATCTCTGTGAGTTGGAGGCCAGCCTGATGTACAGAGTGAGTTTGAGGACAGCCAGGGCTGTTTCACAGAGAAAGGCTGTCTCTAAAAACAAACAAAAAGAATTCCTAAGAAAGAATTGGGTGAGGGTGGGAAACAGTTTGTACAGAAATACAAAGAGAAGCCAGGGTTTCAATTCTATGTGAATGTCTTGCTCCTAGTGTCTTCCAGGTTGTTAATTGTGAAATCTTTTTATTTTTATTCATTTATTTCAGGTGCACAAATGTTTTGCTTGCATGCATACATGCATTTGTGTGCACTGCATGCTTGCATTTGTGTGCACCTCATGCCTGCATGCCTGGTGCCCTAGGAGTTCAGAGGATGGTGCCACATCCCCTGTAACTGGAGTTGTGTGTGGCTTTGAGCCACTGCATGGGTGCTGGGAACTGAACCCGGGCCTCTACAAGAGCAACAAGAGCTCTTAACCTCCGAGCCATCGCTCCAGCCCTGATTTTTGGAGATGAAGGAGCAGCTTCGTGGAAAATTGCTTGTCAGCACACCCAAGGCTGCAGGTTTCATAACAATTGCAAGTGTTTCAAAGGACTAATAGGAGGGTTCAGGCCCCTGTGAGGGCCTGGAGGGAGGTTACATAAGTGTTTGCTGCTATGAGGAGGCAGGCCACTTTGACTGGATATTGTAGGGAACATTATTGACAGTAAGAGTTTGTTAGAAGCAGTAGGCTTTTGGATTCATGGTTTAGAAGCATACTTGCTTGTATCTCAGTTGAGACAGGATAACAAAGTGGTCTGGGTTTTCTCCTGATCCACTGTGGTCACACATGGTCTTGCCTGATGTTGGTGTTCTGTGGCGTGGTTTATATTTAACAGAACACTAAGGCTTTGACTCCAGATAGTCCTTGACTCCGAACAGAAGCAAACTAAACGGCCCTCACCTTATACATAAGTGAACAAATTATGCTTCTTCACACAATGAAGACTGTTCAGCAAGAGAGAACAAACTGCTCACACATGCAACCCCATGAGTGGCTCCTAAAAGTCTTGGTCAACAGCAGCTTCACTGTGAAAAACACGGCGACTCCTACCTAGGCCAAGCAATCCAGGATAGCATGACCAGTAACAAGACATGGTGACCTCATCTGCCTCCCACAGATGATGCAATGGGAAGGGTAAAGTTTTACTTGCGTGTGAGTTTTCTCCCAAGATACGTTATGTAATTACTAGAAATGCCATACAAACCCAGCTGAAGGGTACTGTGCAACATAACCAGCAGCACTTGCCACACAGTTAGCAAAGTTTTGAAGGGTGAAGCTTGGGAAACTGTCTCAAGTGGACCACACACCGGAAAATGGACCTTGGTAAGATATATAGCAAAATATGATGATCTGTGTTCACAGTTAGAATGTAGTTACACTAGTTGGCAGGATACATGTACATGACCTAATTCAGATAACTATTACAGTTAGGCAAGACATAACATTGGGGAAAAGTGGGAAAATAATACACAGGAAGTCTACTATGCTTGCATTAAATTTGTTTTGTTTTTCAAGACAGGGTTTCACCGTGTAGCCCTGACTGTCTGGAACTCTCTATGTAGACCAGACTGGCCTCAAACTCACAGAACTCCACCTGTCTCTGCCTCCTGAATGCTGGGATTAAAAGTGTACACCATCATGACCCAGCTATAATTGCATTATTTCTGGAAGCTTTAAATTATTTAAAAAATAGAGTTGCTTTACATGAAATAAAACAAAAACACAGTGCTAGGGCTGGAGAGATGGCTCAGCAGTAAGAGCATTTGCTGCTCTTCCCAGGGATCCAGGTTCCACTCCCAGCACTCCCACTATGGCTCACAACCATCTGTAGCTCTAGGAGATCTCCAGACCCCCACAGGCACAAGGCACACACTTGGTACACACACATGTAAGCACATGCTCACATGCACAAACAAAAACAATGAAAAAAACCACATGTAATACTAAAAAGTGCCAACACAAAAATTACATTCTGAGACTGTTTACTTGACAGTCTGAAAAAGGAAAACTATAGGTATAGAAATCCTGTCATTGGTTTCAGGTCTGGGATGAGCAGATAGGGACCATCAGAACAATGGAAAGTTCTGTAGCCTTATTTTGGTTATGCTTTTTTGACAACTTGTGAACTGAAAAAAAAGAAAAAAAAACACTGATTTTGATTTTGACAGCACATGCATAGTACTTCAGTAAACCTCAATTAAAAATAAGATGCAAGCACGCTGACACTTCCAACTTAACCTGCCTCTGTTGTAATTAGAGACTCTACACAGCAAGCTTGGAATGCTCGAAATGGAAGGGCAGAGAAAAGTGAGCCACAATGAATATCTGAGTTGGGCGAATGTGGAAGAAGATTGGCACTGTATCCCAGACTGGCTTAGGAGTCCATATGCAATCCTGGAACTCATGGCAATTCTCCTGCCTCAACTTTATAATAGCTAGGGTTACAGATGAGAGCCACCAAGTCCAGGCCTCATTGTTGCTTGCCTGGAATTCATGGCAATTCTCCTGCCTCAACTTAATAATAGGGTTACAGATGAGAGCCACCAAGTCCAGGCTTCATTATTGCTTGCCCCATATTACACATGAAAAACCCATTAGAAATGGATTGAAGACTTAAACGCACCACCTGAAACTGATACTACACGAGAAAAAGAGACGGAAGTCCTGACATTGCTTGGGCAATGATTTCTTAGCAAGACCCTAAACACAGACAATCAAAGCAGAAGCAGGCAAACAGGCTGATAAAGGAATCAGTCACTTACAGAGTGGGAGAAAATATTTCAAACCATACATCTGATAAATGCTAATGTCTGAAACATATGGAGGGAGCCCGAGAGGTGGCTCATCAGCTAAGAGCACTGACTGCTCTTCCAGGGGACCAGAGTTTGATTCCTAGCACTCACGTGGTGGCTCACAACGGTTCATAACTCCAGTTCTAGGGAATTCAACATTCTCTTCTGGCCTCCTGCACACGTGGTATATAGACATAAATGCAGACACGACACCCCATACACATAAATCTCAAAAGTGTAAGTAACTTAAACAAAACAAAATCTATGGAGGTGAGATGACTCAGACGGTTAAGGTGCTTGCCACCCAACTTGAAGACCTGAGTTCAGACCCTGGTGAGAGAAGCAGAGAAAAAGTCCTGCAAGTTGTCCTCTGGCCTCCACACGAGTGCCACCCTGTGTTCCTGTACACACACTATCACCTCAAACCTGCTGGTGAGGCGACCACCAAAAAGAAAAACGTGGCCAGGCGTTGGTGGCGCACGCCTTTAATCCCAGAACTCGGGAGACAGAGGCTGGGGATCTCTGTGAGTTCCAGGCCAGCCTGGTCTACAGAGCAAGTTCCAGGTCAGCCTCCAAAACAATACAGAGAAACAAAACAAAAAAAAGAAAAGAAAGAAAGAAAAGAAAGAGAAAGAAAGAAAAGAAAAACCACTAATGTTAACAAGGATGTGGACAAAATGTCAGCTAGCTCAGCCATTTGGAAAACAATATGGAGATTCCTCCAAAGCTCAAGCCAGAACTGCCATATACTCTAGCAAGCCCCCTCCTAGCTGCTATAAGGGGATTGAAGATCAGTGTATGGAAGAGGCATTTGCACTTGGATGTTAAGTTTGGTGTTTTCCACATGGAAACAATCTAGGTGTTAATCAGTAGAGGAATACAGAAAATATAGCCTGTGCACACATAATGCAATATTAAAAGGACATGGGTGCTAGGACTCAAACTCTGGTCCCCTGGAAGAGCAGTCAGTGCTCTTAGCTGATGAGCCACCTCTCGGGCTCCCTCCATATGTTTCAGACATTAGCATTTATCAGATGTAAGGTGGATGACCTTATTAACATAAGTGAAATAAGCTAAGTACAGCAGCGCAGGCGTGCTGACCTCATTTGTGGAGCATATAAAAGTCAAACTCACAGAAACAAAGACCAGTGATGGTCAACAGAGGCTGGGTGTAGGGCACAATATGGGGGCATGGAGATGTCAGGGGCCACAGACTCAGCGAGAGGGATTAAGGTTTACTGGTCTATTGCACAGCACCATAACTATAGTTGATAACGATGTAGCGCACGTTTCAAAATTCTGAAACAAGTAAACTAGAAAGGTTCTTACCACTAAAAAATAGCGAGGTGATAGACATGTTGATGAGCTTGGCTTTCTTACTATATATAACACATGCCTATATCAAAACACCCCATTGCACTCCAGAAATATATACAATTATCTCATTAACTGAATTGCAGGAGTTTTAAGTCATGGGGCAGAATACATGGTAACTGTACTAGCAGGAACGTTAACAGGCTTCCAGTAAAGACTCGTTGGACACCAAAAGCTCCACAAATGAGATCAATGCATCAGTCCTAGGCTTTGACGCTGACGGGCTCCACTCACACCTGCGCCTGTCAAGGTTACCTGCCTTCAAAACCTTAAAAAGGGTACAGCCTAGGTAGGACCCCGCTGGTCACCTCTTCCGAACACATGCGCGCTGTGCTTCCAGCCCCCTCCCCAGCCTCTGGTTTTCCTCCAATCTCTCTTCGCCCATCTTCCCAGAGCTGGAAAAAATGCGTTCCTCGCCCCGCCCCGGCCCCCACACCACTTGCAAAACTTTAGGGCACAATCCTCCTGACCCCTTGCTTGGTCTTAACCTTTCCCCATTCTTCTGCAGTCTCGATCATCAAATCCTGCCGGCTCTCCCTCTCTACCCTCAGACTGTGTCGCGATCCGCTCCTTTCTGCACTCCCACCGTCACCACTACCGCCTGCCCCTGTCACCTTAGCCAAAGTGCCCTTCCTCCAGGTCACCGCCTTCCGGGGCCCTGCTTCTCTCCCGGGTTTCTCTCCCACCTGTCGCCCATCCTGCCACCCACCCTGTCGCGGCCTTCCCCACCGGCGCCCGGCCGCGCATGCGCGGGGTGGGGCGCGCGGAGCCAGGACAAAGCTGGGACCCCCCCGTCCCCCCCCCAGGCCCAGCACAAGACGCACCTACAGGAGGCGGTGAGAACGGAGCTAGCAGGAGAGGCCGCAGGGCGGAGCGCTCAGCAGCCTAGGGTCCCGCCCCGGCTGCAGCGGCCCCTGCCGGAGACTCGGAAGGATCTGGGCCTGGAAACCTTTTTGCTTTGCGGTTTCGGTGGGACTAGGAGTCAGTGAAAGGCGCCCGGACTTTCTTGCTTCTTTATGACCTTCCAAGATTCATTCCACTTCCCAGATAGGTCTTGAACTACCGCCTGCTCTGCTGCCTCCTTGAGCTCACTGGGGGACAGCAGTTTCAGTACAGAGTTTAGGAAATTCAAAGTCGTTTCCCATGAACTCCCGTGGCAAATCCTGTCAAGGAGGTTCCAGGCTAGCCCAAACCTCTCTCCCCTAATGGAGAGGTTGTGGTGCCGAGATCCACCGGTTTTAGGGACTTCTCTGCTTTTCTGAGATGCTGGTGATGGGTCCAGGGGACCAGAAGGGGAAATAATCTGAGAACATTCACATTCATCTTTCTCTTTCCCAGCTTAAATCTTAAATGCCCCATTGGCTGGACATTCTGCCTACTTGGAAGGCGGCCTGGATCAAGTATTGTATTCCAAGTATTGTATTGCTTTGTGAGTTTTTGTTTGTTTTGAGTTGGAGATATTGAACTCCATGGTTTTAGTTTTTTGTTGTTGTTGTTTGGTTGGTTTATGGTTTTTGGTTTTTCGAGACAGGGTTTCTCTGTAGCTTTTGGAGTCTGTCCTGGAATTCACTCTGTAGACCAGACTGGCCTCGAACTCACAGAGATCCTCCTGCCTCTGCCTCCCGAGTACTGCTTTACACGCTTGTGATAGTGACCACTATATGTTAATTCTTCACTATCAATACTTGGAGGACTGGGGAGAGACAACTCCTAATTGCAACTTTCCATGGTTCACAGACCCAGTATGTAGCCCTCCATCACTCATGGGGGCTGCCATTTCTGTGGCACTGTATGTCATCAAAGTCCAAGGGACTTCTCCCATAGCCCACCCCTGAGGTACTGTCCACTCCAACCTTTCTCCTAGGCTTGGAAAGACCAGCCTTTCCCAACCGCACACTTAAGAAGTGTTCCCTCGGTATTTTGGAGTTAGAGGTCAAGAAAGAATCACAGGACTCCCAGTAAAGTGCAGTGACTGTGGTGAGACTTTCCAGGCTCGGGCTTTACCTCAAACTTGGGCATCCACACGGCGATGGGTGCACATGGCTGAGGATACCATTGAAAGAGGCCTAGCTAGTGATCTGGGAGGACAACAGAGCAGAGTAATAGGCAGAGAGAAGGAGTATAGAGCCCTGAAAGTGATCTCTTCTAAGGGATCATAGCACTGACAAAATTTGTTATGAGGAAGCAACGAAAATAGTTTTATGGTTGGGGGTCACCACTATATGAGGAACTTGCATTAAACGGTCACAACACTAGGAAGGCTGAGAACCACTGTTCTGGAGGAAGAGCAGTCTGAAATCAATGCTGAAGGACTAATTTAATTAGAAAAATGACTGTGTTAATACTAGATAACGGATGTTACTACCTCTTCCCAAGTGGAAACAATTTCTACAGGTTCTCTAGAGGAACAGAGAGAATGCACATATATTAAAGTGGGATTTATTAGACTGTCAACTTGTCACTGTTGTGTCCAAGTCTCGAAGACCCTCAGAGACCACCAAGGAGATAGACTTCATCAAACTACAAATGCAAGGCGTTATTGTTTAATCCTACTGGTAAGGACCCCATCCAGCCAGCTAACACAGCAGCTACCTGGAGGAAGTGGAGTCCCTTGTCTATGGCCATAATTTTAAAGGAAAAAATCACAGAATTACATCATTAGGTATGGGTCGGATCCTGGTTGGTTGACATTTGGGGAACAATTAGGGGAATTTCCCAGAGTCAGGGCAACTGGTTTGTAGTATCTTTGATTGGTTGGCTACAAATGGGAGCATTAGTGGTTCCTATAGCTTTGTCTGTTACTTCCAGGTAACCTGTTCTCATTGGTTGGTGCTGGGAGGGAGCACTCTGTGGTTTCTCTGTCTCTTGGAGGTGGTGTGTTGTAAACACAATCTCCAGGACGGTTGTCTTGGAGATTTGCTCACAACACAAGAACTAGAGACAAGGGGACTGGACTGTTTTGAAGACTTTTCCATAACCTTTACATTTATATAGTTGGATGAGAACTTAAGGCTTTGCCACGTTTATACCATTTCTCCACATTTATAAGATTTCTCCCCGGTGTGATTTATTAGAAGTAAAGCCTTTGAGTTTAGTTTACCTGTTTCAGTCTCAGGCTAGGGTCACCTGGGAAGAGGGAATCTAATTTGAGAAAATATCTCCATCAGATTGGCCTGTAGGCAAGTCTGTGAGTGCTGTGGATAACCCTTCTGTATACTGTGAATGTTGCTCTCATTGGTTGATAATAAAAGCTGCTTTGGCCTATAGCAAGGCAGAATATAGCAAGGTGGGAAAGCCAATCCGAATAGAGGAAGAAGGACAGAGTGGGGGGAGAGGCAGGCAGCAGTCAGTGAAGCAACGTGCTATCGGACAGGTAAAGCCATACGCCTCATGGTAAGATGTAAATGAATAGAAATGGGTTAATTTAAATGTAAGAGCTAGTTAGCGATAAGCCTGAGCTACAGGCCAAACAGTTTTTAATTAACGTAAATTTCTGTGTGATTATTTGGGACCTTGTGGTCTGACATGAATGCTGTGCCTCCGTTTACATGTGGGGCATTTCCTTCGCTAAAGAATGATATGGAAGGGCCCAGCCCACTGTGGGTGGTACCACCCACAGGCATGTGGCCCCTGGATACATAAGAAGCACCCTGGGTGAGCCCTAAAGAGCACGCCAGCTGGAAGCATTCCTCCATGACGTCTGCTGGAGTTCCTGCCCTGGCTTCCCTCGATGATGGACTGTGATGTGGAAGTGTGAGCCGAACAACTGTTCCTTCCCAAGTTGCTTTTGGATAGAGTGTTCTACCACAGCACCAGAAAGCAAACGGATACAATAGAGGCTGGGTAGTCCAACACTGGCTGTCTGCACACAGAGAGCCTGAGAACCCGGAAGCTGCTCAGCCCGTGATGCCGGAGGTGTCAACAGTGCTGTGGGATCCCTGGAGAGCCACAGGTCTGCAGTCCTCACTGGAAGCCTGAAGAAGCTGGATTGTGATATCAGTGAAGGGATGTAGATGCGGCACCAAGATGGAAGGGTGTAAAGGGAAGCCTTCCCGCAAGCCTGTTCCAAAGCCGCATCAGTCCCAAATGAACACAGAGGAGGCTATATTAATTATGAAGCTGTTGGCCTTGCTTTTTCTTACTGGCTAGCTCTGACTTAAGTATTCACCCCATAATTGTTAATCTAAGTATTTCTCTTACCGGAGAAAAGTTTCTGGGCTTCTTACCCCTATGGCAGTTACATCTTGACTCCCTGTGTTTCTCCTTCCCAGAATACTCCTCGGCTCCTAGTCCCACCTATCTTGCTTCCCTATTGGCCAACAGTGCTTTATTGACATATACACAGGACGTCCCCCATCAGAAGGGGAATTTGCAAACACAGTACAGAAGCATGCAAGCAGGATAGGTGAACTCTCTAGCAGATGTGGGGACAAGAAGGTAAAAAGCAAAAACTTCTCTCAGACCTCCTTCTATCTGGGATGCCACCAGAGGTGTCATCCACATTTAGGGTGGGCCTTCTCACTTCAAACACCCTGATCAAGAAAATCCCTCACAGCCGGGTGGTGTTGGTGGTGGTGGTGGAGGTGGCGGCGGCGCATGCCTTTAATCCCAGCACTCGGGAGGCAGAGGCAGGCGGATCTCTGTGAGCTCGATGCCGGGCTGGACTGACAGCCTCCAAAACAATACAGAGAAACCCTGTCTCGTAAAACCAAAAAAAAAAGAGAAAAAAGAAAAAGAAAGAAAGAAAAAGAAAAAGAAAAAAAAAGAAAGAAAGAAAATCCCTCACAGACATGCTCAGTAGTTTCCATCTTGGTTCCAGTCAAATCGACAGCCCAGACTAACTTACACAACTCAAGTGTCTCTCAGTGGGAGAATGGATGAACAGACTGTAGTGAGTCATACATCAACAATCCAATAAAAGGGAATGGGACAACTTGGATGAGTGTGAGCACACTGGTCACAAAAAGCTACCTAGCTATTGTGTGATTCTACTTCCAAGACAGTCTGGAAAAGAGAAATTTGGAGACAACAAATCAGCTGTTTCCAGGGGCTAGGAGCTGGAGGGGGTATGGCTGTCTATATCAGAAGGGAATCCTTTGGGGTGCTGAGATGTGTTCTGTAATATTATGTGATGCCTAACAAATGTATGCAGGTGTCAAAACTCAAGCAGGACTAGTGAGATGGATCAGCCATCTTGTTAACAAGCCCAATGACCTGAGTTCTATCCCTGTGACTCACATGGTAAAAAGAGGGAACCATCTGCGGCAAGTTGTCCTCTGACCTCCACATGTGCACATGCTATTCATATTCGCGCCCCCCCCACACCAAATAAATGCAATAAAAAGGTTTTTTGAAAAATAAAAAAGAATGAAACACTAGAAACAGAGCAAAAATATTACTTGATTGTAAGTATAGCTGGCTAACTACATTTTCAAAATCTCATTGGGCTGTTCAACAGTAATGTGGTAGTTTGATAGTAAGTATATTACATCAGAAAGAGGTAAGGGAGCTACAGAAGTAGGGGATGAATGAAGAGGGTTCTTTGAGTTATCGTTTCCATCTTCCTGTGTGATCGTGTGTGTCAGTGCCCATGCATGCATGCATGTACTTGAAGACAGAGGTGAGCCTCATATCATTCTTCAGGTCCCATCCACCTTATTTTTTGAGTCAAGATTTCCTATTGGCCTGGAGCTCCCTGATGGAGTCTGGATGGCTGGTGAGCTTGGGAGATTAACCAGTTTCAGCTTGCCCTGTACTGGCATAACAAGAACTTACCACCACACCCAGATTTTTTTATGTGGGTTCTGAGGATGAAACTTAGGTCCTCATGCTTGTATGGAAAACACTTTACCAACTGAGCCATTTCCCAGTCACTTGTTGCAACTATCTTTGTATGCATTTACAATATTCATATTAAACAATAAGAGTGAAAGTAAGTTATGGAGCCCACAGAATTCCCAAAACCAGGTCTAGGAAT